ATCAAACACCAAAAATACACAGTCAATCGATCTGTGTGTGTTTGAGATTACCATTACACTATAGCACTCACTCTCAAATATGATGAGTGAGTGATATATATATATATATATATAGAGAGAGAGAGAGAGAAACAATGATGGCAACCAGAGCTGTTGGAGGAGGCGGCGAATGCAAAGTTGCAGGAGATTTTGTTATAGATGAAGATCCGGTGTAGATTTGGTGCAACTGAAACGACGGCGATTCACGGCGACGGCTGAGCTTCGCCGATCTGACTTCGTCCCCTTGCTGCGCCGACGATGCCACCGTATAGCGGTGGCGGTTGCGGTGTCCGTGGGTTCGGTGGTCGTGAAGAAGAAGGGGAGCGAGAGGGACGGAGTGGAGAGAGAGAAAGTGTAAGACAATGGTTTGGTTAGGGTTTGGAAAAGAATATATATATACATATATGTGTGTGTGTGTGTGTGTGTGAGTAGTTTGATCATTTTTCAAAAACTTCTAATGGACATAATGTTTTAGCCTCTACACTTTTGGACAATAAAAATCTAAAATTAGATTTACTGCCCAAGCCTAGAATATATATTTTTTCTTATTTATTCTTTTATTTACATATTATTTGTATTAATTTTGTCTCTTTAACTTTATTAAAAGGGAAATTAATATAATCAGGTCAAATTGTAAGACTATTTATATTTTCTCAAACCTTCAAGAAAATTAGAATGATTTATCCTTTCTATTTTTTTGGTTAAAATAATGAATAAATCACCAAATTTTAACTCTGTCAAATTAACTATTTTAGTTTTAATTGTTTGAGCTCAACAAATATAGGTATTGTTTTAGGTTAATCAAATATTATATTGATATTTTTGAGGTAGTTGTGTTGAGTTTGTAACAAATTTTAAAAAATATTTTTTAAAGATAATAGAAATGATTTTTTATAAATAGTATAAAGAAAAAATAGAGAATTTATTGGTAAGTATATTTTAAAAAGTGTATAATCAAAATAAAAAAAATAATTTTTTAACTGAAAACAAAAATTTAAGTAGTGTCAAAGAGATGTTCTCTGAGCAACTCTACATTAATAGGCATTTTGCCTTACAAAAAGTATATAAATGAGATAATTACCTAAAAGTCCTATCTATATATTTGGTGGTAGCTTAGGTCCTATCAAAAAGTTTTTGAACTAATAAGTCCCATTTAGAGGTAAAAAGACGTTTTTGCCTTTTAACATCAACAACTGTATATAAAATTACATTCACATTATTTACTAAAAAGAAAAAAAGAATCAGTTAACAGATCAGTTATGGAAGTAGCTGAAGATTCGAATCGTGAACGATCTTGAAGGATTTATTGCTTTGGTTAGCTATTATACGTAATTGATTTCTCGATTTTGATTCGAATAGAAAAGGATCTTGAAGGATTTCTTAGTTTGGTTCGCATTTTGAGTTGAAATCTGTTGGAGTTTGTTATGTGCGATTTCGATTTATAAATTGAAGAATTGATTTGCTGGATATTTGATCTTCGATCTGGTTTATAGGTATGTATTGTTTCGATTTTGTATATTATGTTTTTTTTAGAATTTTCTTTAGTTTTGATTGAATTTATTTATGAGAATATATTGAATAATTTTGTTTTTACGAATTGAAGACGTGATTTGCTGGATGATTTCTCAGTTTGGTTATTTATTTTATGAATTGAAAACGTGATTTGTGAAGTATTTGTATTGTTATGAAGTTTTTTGTTCTGGTGTTTATTGTTATGAAGTATTTGTGAAAACTGAGAAAGTTCTTAGTATTGTTCTGGTTTTGATTGATGCGATCTTTTTTCTTGTTTAGATTGAAAGATGAGTGAAGGTTGTACAAGTGCGCCTATTTTTTTGTTGTGCAAGTATAATGGTTGCACATTTGTAATTAAGATTGATCAAAATGTTGCATATGATCAGTTGGTTGAGAAGCTATCTTTGAAATGGGATAATTTGCAATTTGATAATATTTGTCTATCTTACTCATTGCCTGGACATCCTAATTGTACGTTGGACAACAATGAGGAGTTAGATTTGTTGTTGGCATTAGTTGTGCATTTTGATTTAAAATGTATTGATGTTGTTGTGTGAGTAAAAAACTCAATCATTGACTGTGGTTATCTCAACAACAGATTGGATTATGGAGAAAGAGAGTCAATGTTGGATGCTGAAGTTTGTGATATTGCATTGTCTCATGACAGCGGTAAGTCTGTGAACTTGTCAAATAGAGCATCTACATCTTCCAAAAGGAATTCGAGGTTGGAGGTTAAAGAAGATGTTGATATGTTATCATCATTTTGTCGACACAAGGGAAAAGTACTTGTGACAACCCTCACCACTGATTAGTGCTAATCTATGATCAAGCATGTTAACTGACTAATTGACTGAAATTCTGAACTGATTGATTGAGTGTATTAGTTTAAATGTATGTCTATCTGTTTGACTACTAAATTATCTGTTTGTGTATTATGTTTAAACTGCAAATTGAAGGCCTTATCGGCGGTCGAATCCGAAATTGATTAATGTTTTATGCTAATTGGAATTTATGTGATTTTATGGTAAATTTAATTGGAACTTGATTTGGTATGATTAAATTAGATTAAATAATGTTAAATTACATAAGTTGGACTTATCTACAAATTTGCCATCTAGTGGATTAATCTAGGCCAACCCCTCTCCACTTCATACACTTTTGATACAACATTTCTTCAGCATTTTGAGAGCAAAACCGTTTAAGAGAGAGAGAGAGGTAGGAGGAACTTGTTTTCAACCAAATTGGCTTGGAGGCTTAGGAGATTGAAGGATTCCTTGCATATTGAGCTTCTACATTTGAAATTGGAGACTTAAGGTAGAGAATTTACCTTCTTGTTCATATTTTGGGTTGGTTCTTGCATGGTTTAAAGGATTGTTGGAGCTTAGAGCCAAGTTATGGCTTAAATTGTTGAATTGAAGCTTGTATCATGCATGCATATACATATTCTTGCATTTTGAAGTTGATTTTCATGAAATCTTGCATGCAAGTTTACATTCTTGTTCTAGTCCATGAGTTCATCATGGTTTTGAGTTTAATCTTGCTTTGGATCATGTTTTGAGGCATTAGAATTCACTAGAATTCATGCATGTCATATGTTCTTCATGTTCATGAAAACTTCTTTGAAATTGTGTTTAATTGAACTACCTTTGGGCTTTGATTTCTCAAATTGATCTTTGAAACATGTCATATTATGAGTTTACAAGTATTTTCTAGAAAATTAGCCCAAAAAGATCGAATTTGATGCTTTAAAGTTGAGTTTTGAGCTTGGAGGTTCAATCTGGAAATTTCAGAATTTGGACCCACGCTCGAGCGTACGCTTTGTGTGCATGCAGTCCGCTCGAGCGAGGAAAGTGACGCTTGAGCGTGAAATTCATGTATCTAGTACATTGCATGTGTTTACAGTCCGCTCGAGCGAGGGGATGCATGCTCGAGCAAGGACTTGTGTCTCACGCTCGAGCGAGGATCGAGCGCCCGTCGAGCGTGAATTTCATGCATCCAGTACTTTTGCAGTCCACTCAAGTAAGGAAAGTCACGCTCAAGCAGAGCTCTTTTGTCTACATGTCAGCTCGAGTGTAGAAAGTCACGCTCGAGCGAGACCTCTGTTTTTTGAAAATTCTAAAAAGTGTTTTAAAGTGCATCTTTGCATCCTCATTCCATCCTAGGCACTCCTAGGCCTAGTTTAAGGCATCTTAATGAGGATATTGTTGTAGAATAACACCGAGGCAAATTAGGGATTAAGTTATTATTTCCAAACTATGTAGCTTAGTGTGTGTTCGTTCTGTAACTGTGTAGAGTTAGCATCCGAGGACGCTCTAGCTGCTTATAGCCCAGTACTTTCTGAGTAACAATGTTGTAAAGATATGTTCAATCATGAATATTTTCTGAATGAACAATTGTACTGCTTTCTAAAATGATATTTCTTACTGAATGAATGTTTGTCCTATTTGTGAACTGTATTCGTGGCATCCATAGCAATTTACTGTTACTGTACTGTACTGCTACTGTCACAGAGATCTCTGTCGGTTCCCATGTTTGGAACCACTACTGTTTATTGATATGATGGTCATCAACTGACTGTTCGATCTGTTAAGACCTACTGTACTGTTTTTCTATTGGATGTACCACTTATGACTATTATAGCTTCTGAATGACTGTTATGGCATGAAATATGAGCCACAAACTGAATGACTGATATACTGATAAATTACTGTTTTCAATACTGAAAGGACATTCATTCTTAACCTCTTTACGCATATGTTATTCACTGGGCTTTAGCTCACTACTCACATATATATGTAGGTGTTCAGGTACCGGACCGTTGCTAGAAGCGTCAGGCTAAGCTCTTGTTTTGTCAAGCCAACCTTTGTGCCTCACTTCGAGGTTCCAGATCTGTTCAAGCTAAGGCTGCTTTTGGGGTGTCTCAGATTCACCCTATCTGTCTCTGTTATGTATAGACTGAATGATATTTGTACTGTACTGTTATGGTGGGATTTGGTCCCTAACCTGAATGCCTGTAAATGATGTATGTATATACTGTTTTTGTTGTGAATGCGAATATGTTATGAAAAGTCTTTTTGCATACAAACTGTCACAGCTCATTGGACATCTTTTAATTACTGTTTTGGCTTCCGCCAGCCCCTGTACTCTGTATTACTGTTTTACTGTTAAGCAGGCCTTCGGTAATCTCGAATTACTGGCCGGTTACGGTGCTAAACCCATAGGGGCGGGTTTGGGTCGTGACAGTACTGTTGTCTGCTGGTTGGGCAGTTAGTATTACACATGTAGGACAAAAATTTGAAGGTGGAATTGTTAAATTTCGTAATACATTGTCGAAGTTTTCTATTGAGTGTGGATTTGAGTTCATATTTGTTAAGAATGATAAAGTTCGTGTTATTGCACAATGTTTGTTTAGAGAGACAAAAGGTTGTATGTGGAATGTTCATGGTAGAATGAAGAATGCTAATGGGTTCTTTTATATAAGGAAGTTGAACAATGTCCACACATGTGGTGTTGAAGTACGTACGATGACACATTCTCGTATGAGTTCTGATTTAGTTGCTGATTTGATTGTTGAAGGTGTTCGTAATAATCCATTGACACGCCCAGTTCATGTTGTTCAGGATTTTAAGTTGGGGTATGGGTTGAGAGTTAGTTATCGTCAAGCTTGGTTGGGGGTAGAGAAAGCAAAATGTGAGATTTTTGGAGACTACTTAATGTCATTTGACCAGTTAAGATGGTATGTGGATGTTGCAAAGAGTTGCAATCCAGGGAGTTACATTGAGTTTGAGTGTGATGACGATACTAAACGGTTTAAGAGATTATTTGTTTCTTTTCATGGTTCCATTAGTGGATTTGATTATTGTCGACCTCTCTTATTCCTTGATGGCACATTTTTGAAGGGAAGATTTAGAGGAAATTTACTTGCTGCTACAAGAAAAGATGGAAATCAAGGTATATAAGAAATTTGTTTTCTCTGTTCTAAAATTGAGAAAGTTCTCAGTTTAGAAATATGATTGAATGTTTTAAATTTTATATAATATTGTTGTTGTATATGCATTTTTTATTTTTTCAGTTATTCATTTTAGTGTTTGATATTTTGAATGTTAGAGTGTTACTATTTTCTAAGAATAATTTAATATTTTCATTTTTTCTGTTTTGTACATGCAGGGTTCTTTCCTGTTTGTTTTGCAGTTGTTGGCTCAGAGAATCGAGATAATTGGCACTGGTTTTTGGAGCATTTGAGTAGAATTGTTTCACCAGAACGAAATATTACATTTGTGTCAGATCGTAACCTTGGATTAGTTGAAGTGTTGCCAAAGGTTTTCCCAATGGCTTTCTATGCTTATTGTTTATATCATTTGAAGATGAACTTGAGGCATTATTTGCGTGGTATGTTTCATGGATTGAAAGAAAAACTAATCACTTTGTTTGGGAAATGTGCATATGCTCCAACTGAAGAAACATTTCATCAATGTTTGGTTGAGTTAAAGATTGAAGATGGGTCAAGAGTTGAAAAATTTTTAGATGACATACCATATGATCATTGGAGTAATGCATATTTTCGAGGGCAACACTTTGGAGAGATGTGGTCAAATATAGCTGAATCTTTCAATTCGTGGATACGAGAGGAACGCCACTTGCCTATCACAAAGTTGATTGATAGTGTAAGAATTAAGTTGATGAGGAAAATTGCTAAGAGGAGGGAACTTGTTAATAAATGGAATGGTTTGATTTGCCCTAAAATGGAGTCCAAGTTGCATGATGGTTTTAATTCAAGGCCATAGATTGTTAGTTCATCTGGAAATGATGTCTAGGAGGTTCATTCACATCCATCAATTTCAGTTGACATTAGTAGACGAATATGTTCTTGTGGCGAGTGGTAGTTGAAAGGGTTTCCATGTGCATACAAAAGAGTGGACATGATTTGAGTTTATTTGTTGATCAATACTTCTATGTTCAAAGTTATCGAGAGTCCTATTCTTTTCCCATATATCCTGTTCCTTCAATTTGGAAACCAGATTGTAATGTTGATGGTGATAGTGAAGTTGTTCTTCCTCCTTTGTCTAAGAAACAACCAGGAAGGCCAAATAAGAAGAGGATTCGTTCAAATGGTGAGAAAGTGAGGCAAATTACTTGTAGTAGATATGGGAAGGTTGGCAATCACAATACGAAATCGTGTAAGGAGGCTTTGTGATTTTTTGTAGTTACTTTGTGATTGTAAAAATTTCGTATTCATAAATTTCTTGAAGTAGCAGTTTGTGCTGTTGAGCGCTGAGTAATAATCTTCTATGTTTTTTAATAAAGTGACATTGAATTGAAAGTGAAAATATTCTTAGTTTCAGATTTTAATTTTTGAAATTGTTTGTGATAATATTGTTTGGTTGGCTTTCGGAAATAAACTTGACTGCTGAATGTTTGTTTTGCAGATTATGTGAATACTGTATAAAAAGTGAACATATTCTCAGTTTAAGTTTTTAGTTCAAAATAGCTGATTTTGTGATAATAGTGTGAGGCTCTTGTTATGAATTGGAACTAGTTATAAATGTGATGAATTGAATGAATGTGAATTAATATTCTAAATAGATGTGATCAATGCTTTATGTTTTGATTAAAGTAACAGTGGACTATAAGTGAAAATATTCTTTGTTTCGAATTTTAGTTTTTCAAATTGTCATAATATTGTGAGGCATCAAATAAATTGTTGTGATAATATTGTTTGGTTGGCTTTCGGAAATAAACTTGACTGTTGAATGTTTGTTTTGCAGATTATGTGAATACTGTATAAAAAGTGAACATATTCTCAGTTTAAGTTTTTAGTTCAAAATAGCTGATTTTGTGATAATAGTGTGAGGCTCTTGTTATAAATTGGAACTAGTTATAAACGTGATCAATTGAATGAATGTGAATTAATATTCTAAATAGATGTAGTCAATGCTTTATGTTTTGATTAAAGTAACACTGGATTGTAAGTGAAAATATTCTTCGTTTCGAATTTTAGTTTTTCAAATTGTCATATATTGTGAGGCAGCAAATAAATTGTTGTGATAATATTGTTATTTGAAAATTGAGTGATCTGTATAAAACTGAAAATATTCTCAGTTTTAAAGTTTCTAAGTTTAAAAATAAGTGATTGAAACAACAATAATTTTGAAAATATTTTTAATTTTAGTTTTAAGCAGTGTTTTGTGAGGCAACAAAACACTGCATAAAAACTGAAAATATAAACAAAAACATCAACAAAGCACTGATTGTGATGCAATAAAGTCTTGTGTTCACTATTTTCACATGTAATACTATTTTCGCTTTTGCCATATAGTAGTGTGAGGAACAGGATAATAGAAACTGAGAATATGGACAAAAACATCAACAAAGCTCGGGTGCATATATCTTTGAGAGTATGACAAAATATTCCATTACACATCATAGAAATTATAATATGTTTGTTAGGTAATATGCTTGGAACTATTAACAAAAACATTAGTCATTGTATCAAAGTGTTACAAAAAAAGAGTTCATTGAGTTACACATCAAAAAAGATTTCATTGAAGGTTGCAATCTTGACTCTACTTGACTTTGATTGATCTTTGTGGATCACTGAGGAACTCATGTACCATGTCTGTTCTGAGTCTTGTGGATGTGCCTGGTGGTAATGTGTTTGGAATTGGTTGATGCCTCATGTATTGTCTTTTGATGTAGCAAACAATAAATCCACAGTCATTCCTACAGAAATCATTTTTGACACAATTAGGGAAAAAAGAATTTTTTTTTGAAAAAGATATTAAAATTTGTTAGTTAGAATAAATTAACATACGTCATTGACTGATTCAATCTTGACATCAGGATTCCAGGCTTTTTCTGCTTGACAAGGTGTATCCTTTATGTGTTGATGGATGATTTTTTGCTGTAAAAAACATCAACATAAAGTATGTAATGATTTACATCTGATTATTGTAATGCTAATCTGAAATTGTTCTTACCAGTTGATTTGCAACGTTGTAGTGCTTGTCCTTTCCTTTTCTTGGTCTCAAAGAGTTGAAATGTTTCCAAGTCCCCAAGTGTTTGTTGATAACAAGTAATGTCCAATGATTGAAATTGTGGATGGGGATATGGATGTATCGACATGGAAGAGATTCTTGTAAAGTATTTTTCAAAATCTTTTTCCTTTGTTCTGAAGTTTTCTTCTTCAACATTGGCTGTTTTTTACAAAAAATATGTGAACATTCACAGTAATGGTACGAACTCAATATTCATATGTCGATGAAAAGCAACAAAACATGATTAACTACGATTTGTCACTCAAATTGTTTTGAAATCTGAATATATTCCCAGCAATGATACCAAAATCAAAATTTGAGAACATTCACAAGAATGATAACAAACACAAAAAATATACTTTGAAACCAAAATTGAACGGAAGATAAAGTATAGAATTGACACATGCACATTGATTGCTTACCCAATATAGCCTTGACAGTATGAAAGGCTTTCCATTGTGCTCTGCTCCATCACCAGAATTCTGTGTTTGTGGTTCTCTTTGAAGAATCTCAGCATATGTATCAATTGTCTATCAAATTGAAACACAAAAGTGATGTTAACAAATTTATGAGAAGTTTTTCAGTGTTAAAATATTACAAATATTATATGTACACAGCTAGATATGTCTGTCCCTTTTACCAAGTTCTTGATATCATTAATAAACACACAATTTTCATATCTTGCACCAAACCATATACAAGCACTACAAAACAATAAAAAAATGTGTTAATAATTAAGTTAGAATATTTTTAGAAAACAAAGCTATTTCTCAGTTTCATTTCATATATTTGTACTACATGAAAAATTGAAAGATTAATGTAAGATTATACCTTGATTCTGTTTGCTTTTCTTTCCAAAGAATTTGTAGTTTATATTTATCTTCAGGAGGTAGCAATTAAGCCACAACATACTTATTTGAAATTGTCTCATCTTTGTGTTCCTTTTCTTTCTCAACTTTAACTTTCTTGCCTCTATACTCATAATCTGACACCTCAGTAGTCTTCCTTGCTTTAGCTTTGATATTTTTAATCATGGAATTCTGTAGATTTGTTTGTTTTGATTCTGTCAGATCATCGGCTTTTATTGCACAAACTTGTTGGGTTAAGTCATGGACTTCTTCCTCTAGTAACTGATTCTGTAACTGAGAATTTTGACAATCTTTCACATTTGTATTTTTCTCACAATGTTTTGTTGCAAAATGTTGTTGCGTTATCTCATGGACCTCTTTCTGATGGAGCTCTTTGTCCACAACTTCAAAATTTTCATGGACCTCTTTCTGATGAAGCTCTTTGTCCACCACTTCAGAAATTTCATGGACCTCTTTCGGTAGCACTTGAGAATTTTCATCGTTTATTGTATGACCTTCATTCTTTGCATCTGTCCCAGAATGTTTTACTGCACAAACTTCTTGGGTTATCTCATGGACCTCTTTTTCAACCAATTGGTTATGCAATCGAGAATTTTCATCTTTCAATTGTTGTATTTGTGCTGTGAGTAGCCTATTATCCTCTTCAAGTTTATTTATGTAGATGGTCTTCACTGTATTGTCTAGTTGCAAATTGTTGTTCTCAGTTTGAAGTTTCTCAAGTGTTTGTTGATGAATTTGTTCTTCTCCCTCAGGTGCATCATTGAGTATAATTTTGCAGAAGTCATTAAAGTCTTCATTTGCTGGCTTTTGTTCTTGGTGGCACTCTTCAACATATTGACCATCTTCTTCTTCTTCTTCTTCATATTCTTTAGAATCTTCTTATTCTTCTTCAGTATTTTCAGCATCTTGTTTTTGTTGTTCTTGTATTTCTTGTTCTTCTTCTTTAGCATCTTTTTGTTCTTCATCTTCAGCATTTTCAGCATCTTCTTTTTCTTCTTCTTCAGTGTCATCAAGGTCTTCATGACTTTCCTCATTCAATTGAGCACTGGTTACCTGTAGGTCAACATACAACAGATATTAGTTTTTGAAATAATTGAAGTTTAGGAAACTAAAAAGTTTCTCAGAAATAATTCAGTGTATAAAAATAGAGATTTTTCCCAACTTGAATTGAAATTAAAATGAGATGAGGATGTGACCTGTCTTGTTGTCAGCTGATGTAGTGATATGACTTTCATACGTTTATGTAATTTGGCAAGATTCCACTTGATCACCCTTGGGCATGCTTTGCTAGCTTCAGGGTGGATGATCAGTGTGTGCTCACACAATCAATACTACAAAGCAAATGTAAAGAATTTTTGTCATTTGAATAAGAAGTAATACTATCTGTTATTAACAACAAACTAATAGAATAGAGTAAAGATGTACTTACTAAGAGAGCCATAACACATCCTGTGACTTTTGCTGGATTTTTGTGGTATTTTTCAATTGAAGACATCAGTGTGTTCCTGATGTAGAGAAAAAAAGCTTCAAACAAGTATATATACACAACATCTTTATCACATCTTCATTGTCTTCTTTCTTCTTGCCTTTCAATGCTTTTTGCAACAAGTTGGTGATGGTTGTGCTCGATAGCCTTTCAGTTTGTATGCATCTTCTTGTCAGAAATGATGATCTGCTTTTATTTCCATAACCAAGATGTATCGGCTCATCTCCACAAGATATACCGAAGATGGGCTTGATGTCTTCTATTGTTAGATTTACAGTTTCTGGTCTTAACTGGAAAGAACCACTACTGCCTGGCTAGTAAGTTTGAATTATTTTCAATGAAATGTCATCATATTTTCTGCATTGTTTACAATTCATCTTGTTTTTCAATATTGTATCAAACAATGCCCAAAATGGGGTTTTCATCAAGCCATTAATATGCTCATTCCTGAGTTTGATGTGCTGTAATAGCTTCACTATTGTCACCATGTTTGATCTGAAAGTTTGTTCTTGTACTTTTTGTTCTTCTTCTTCAGCATCTTCTTTTTCAGCATCTTCTTGTTCTTCTTCTTCAGTATTTTCAGCATCTTCTTTTTGTTCTTCTTCAGTGTCATCAAGTTCTTCATCACTTTCCTCACTGAATTGAGCAGTAGTTACCTGTAGGTCAACATACAATAGATATTAGTTTTTGAAATAATTGAAGTTTAGGAAACTAAAAAGTTTCTCAGTAATAATTCAGTGTATAAAAATAGGGATTTTTCCCAACTTGAATTGAAATTCAAATGAGATGAGGATGTGACCTGTCTTGTTGTCAGCTGATGTAGTGATATGACTTTCATACGTTTATGTTATTTGATAAGATTCCACTTGATCACCCTTGGGCATGCTTCGCTAACTTCAGGGTGGATGATCAATGTGTGCTCACACAACCAATACTACAAAGCAAATGTAAAGAATTTTTATCATTTGAATAAGAAATAATACTATTTGTTGTTAACAACAAACTAATAGAATAGAGTAAAGATGTACTTACTAAGAGAGCCATAACACATCTTGTGACTTTTGCTGGATTTTTGTGGTATTTTTCAATTGAAGACATCAATGTGTTCCTTATTGCTTCTGCCCAATTGTATTTTCTCATTGAGTTTACGTCTTCCATGTATAGGAAAAAAGGTTCAAACAAGTAAACATACACAGCATCCTTATCACATCTTTAGTGTCTTCTTTCTTCTTGCCTTTCAATGCTTTTTGCAACAAGTCTATGATGGTTGTGCTCGATAGCCTTTCAGTTTGTATGGATTTTCTTGTCAGAAATGATGATCTGATTTTATTTCCATAACCAAGATATATCGGCTCATCTCCACAAGATATACCGAAGATGGACTTGATGTCTTATGTTGTTAGCTTTACAGTTTCTGGTCCTAACTGGAAAGAACCACTGCTGCCTGGCTGGTATATTTGAATTATTTTCAATGCAACGTCATCATATTTTTTGCATTGTTAGTAATTCAGCTTGTTTTGCAATATTGCATCAAACAATGCCCAAAATGGGGTTTTCTTCAAGCAATTAATATGCTCATTCCTTAGTTTGACGTGCTGTAATAGTTTCACTATTGTCCCCATGTTTGATCTGAAAGTTAATCTCCATTCTCTACGCTTTCCCTTTTGCTTTTTATCCGTTGAAGTTGATTTTTTATGCTTTCTTATCATTTTCTTTGCATTACTTTTTAGTCTTGGGGTTTTCATGAGTTGCTTTCCTGTACGGAAAATCAACATAGACAAGATATAAATACTGAGAATGTGCCCTAAAAGAATCAATCCAATGTCATTCTCATGAAGTCTAAATTTGATGACATTCATGGCTATAAAAACAAAATCAACATTGAAAGTTATATTGAAAGGAAGAGAAGATTATTAACTAGGGTTTTTTACTCAAACTGATTCAGAATATGAGAACATTCACAGCAATCGCAGCAAAAATCAACATTGAAACTTAAATTGGGAGCAAGAGAACATGATTAACTAGGGTTTTCAGTCTAATTGATTGAAAACTTGAGAAAATTCACAACAATCATGTCAAACTTAATATTGAAACATAAATTGAAATCAAGAGAATATGATTAAGTTCGGGTTTTCACTCAAATTGACTAAGAATCTGAGAACATTAACAATAATCGTACGAAAATCAACATTGAAACCCAAATTGAAACCAAGAGGATATGATTCACTAAGGTTTTTTACTCAAATTTTCTAAGAATCTGAGAACATTCACAGGAATCGTACGAAAATTAACATTGAAAGCTAAACTGAAACTAGAGAATATGATTCACTAAGGTTTTTTACTCAAATTGTCTAAGAATTTGAGAACATTCACAGGAATCGTGCCAAAATCAACAATGAAAGCTAAATTGAAACCAAGAGAATATGATTAACTAAGGTTTTTCACTCAAATTGATTGAAAATATGAGAACATTGACAGCAATGGTACCACACTCAACATCGAAACTTAAATTTAAAGGAATGGGATATGATTAAGTAGGGTTTTTTACTCAAATTGATTCAGAATATGAGAACATTCACAGCAATAGCAGCAAAATCAATATTGAAACTTAGATTGGAAGCAAGAGAACATGATTAACTAGGGTTTTCAGTCAAATTGATTGAAAACTTGAGAAAATTCACAACAATCATGTCAAACTCAATATTGAAACTTAAATTGAAATCAAGAGAATATGGATTAAGTCCGGGTTTTCACTCAAATTGACTAAGAATCTGAGAACATTAACAACAATCGTACGAAAATCAACATTGAAACCCAAATTCAAACTAAGAGAACATGATTCACTAAGGTTTTTTACTCAAATCGTCTAAGAATCTGCGAACATTCACAGGAATCATACCAAAATCAACATTGAAAGCTAAATTTAAACCAGAGAATAAGATTCACAAAGGTTTTTACTCAAATTGTCTAAGAATTTGAGAACATTCACAGGAATCGTGCCAAAATCAACATTGAAAGCTAAATTGAAACTAGAGAATAAGATTCACTAAGGTTTTTTACTCAAATTGTCTAAGAATCTGAGAACATTCACAGGAATCATACCAAAATCAACATTGAAAGCTAAATTGAAACCAGAGAATAAGATTCACTAAGATTTTTACTCAAATTGTCTAAGAATTTGAGAACATTCACAGGAATCATGTCAAAATCAACAATGAAAGCTAAATTGAAACTAATAAAATATGATTAACTAAGGTTTTTGACTAAAATTGATTGAAAATATGAGAACATTGATAGCAATGGTACCACACTCAACATTGAAACCTAAATTGAAAGTAATAGGATATGATTAAGTAGGGTTTTTCATGTAATTTCAGTAAGAATCTGAGAACATTAACAGCAATGGTACCCAAATCAACATTGAATCCTAAATTGGAAGTAACAGAAGTTGATTAATTAGGGTTTTTTCACTCAAATTCAATATGAATCTGAAAACATTAACAACAATGGTACTAAAATCAACATTGAAAACTAAATTGAAAGTAAGAGAATATGATTAAGTAGGGTTTTTCACTCAAATTCACTAAGAATCTGAGAATATTAACAGTAATCGCACCAAAATCAACATTGACACTTAAATAGAAAGCAAGAGAACATGATTAACTAGGGTTTTTCACTCAAATTCACTAAGAATTAGAGAATATTCACAGCAATCACACCAAAATCAACAATGAAACCTAAATAGGAAGCAAGGCAACATGATTAACTAGGGTTTTTCACTCAAATTCACTAAGAATCTGAGAATATTCACAGCAATTGCACCAAAATCAACAATGAAACCAAAATAGAAAGCAAGGCAACATGATTAACTAGGGTTTTTCACTCAAATTCACTAAGAATCTGAGAATATTCACAGCAATTGCACCAAAATCAACAATGAAACCTAAATAGAAAGTAAGGGAACATGATTAACGAGGATTTTTCACTCAAATTCACTAAGAATCTAAGAATATTCACAGCAATCGCACCAAAATCAACATTGAAACTTAAATAGAAAGAATGAGAACATGATTAACTAGAGTTTTTCACTCAAATTCACTAAGAATCTGAGAATATTTACAGCAATCGCACCAAAATCAACAATGAAACCTAAACAGAAAGCAAGGGAACATGATTAACTAGGGTTTTTCACTCAAATTCACTAAGAAGTGAATTTGAGAATATTCGCAGTAATCGCACCAAAATCAACAATGAAACCTAAACAGAAAGCAAGAGAACATGATTAACTAGGGTTTTTCACTCAAATTCACTAAGAATCTGAGAATATTCACAGCAATCGCACCGAAATCAACAATGAAACCTAAATAGAAAGCAAGGGAACATGATTAATTAGGGTTTTTCACTCAAATTCACTAAGAATGTGAGAATATTCACAGCAATCGCACCAAAATCAACATTGAAACCTAAATAGAAAGCAAGTGAACATGATTTTTGTGGCATTACAATGAATGTTCTTAGATTCACAAACAAAAACAAAAACAAAAGTTTCGAACTCAACATTCAAGCTGAAATGGAAATAAAAAACAAAAGGTTCGAAAATGAAAGTTTCGAACTCAACATTCAAGCTGAAATGGAAATAAAAAACAAAAGGTTCGAAAATGAAAGTTTCGAACTTAACATTCAAGCTGAAATGGAAATGAAAAACAAAAGTTTCGAAAATGAAAGATTTCGCAAAAATTAGGGTTTAAGATACTTGAATCTTACTTGTTTTCACCATTTTTGGTTTTTCGGATGTTTGAATGTTTGATGATCTAGTTTGTTTTTGTGAAATCTGAGACGAGATTGATGAAGGAAGACGAGATTAATGAAGGAAGACGAAATGTGAGGCGAAATTGATGAAGGTGAGAATGAAATCTGCGAGGGTGAGAAATGGCGGGATGAACTGTGAATGAAATCGTGAATCTGCGATTTTTGTTTTGTGTTTTGATTTGTTAAGGGTAGTTTCGTCATATTAATGGATTATGGGACTTACTGGTTAAAAGTTTTTGAACTAGGACTTAATGGACCATTATTTGCTAAAACGGGATTTACCTGTAAATCACCCTAATAAAATAGTGTTTATATTTGACCTAACCACTTTATTTAGCATATATTCCACTTTGTGAGCATAATCGAACTTCTCTGTGAAGGAAAAATTATTGGTCTGTCTAAGAGTATTACGTGGTCATGTCTTAGATTAATTACAAATTTTTATATCGTTTCATATTTTTTAATCACTTAACACAAAATCGTAAATTTCAATCCCTTCCGATCACAATGCCAAGCTATATAAATCGTGGGTAGAGTGACACCTTTCTATGCTTAACCGGTTGTGGCGGTCATCGGATAGATGCCCATTCATAAAATATAGAAGGTTTAATTTCAAGTTTTTGCTAGTAATGACTATGATTATTTACATGACAAGAATCTTGAAAAAGGATGAAAATGTAATTTTGGTATCCCATGATTCCAGTGTTTTTTTTCTTTTTTTCTTCTGAGAAACATGATTTTAGTGTTTAGAACAGTTTACAATAAAATAATGATTCTTGATTAGCTGTTTAAGCAAGAATCTCATTTTCAAATAGAGTAGGAATTCAATTTGCTCACTCTCTCGTTAGAATCTCATATTTCCTGAAATGTTAATCATTTAAGAATAAAATATAATTATTGAACTCGCAATCTTTAAAATTTTCTCATTTTTCCTTTTTAGATTCCTAGTTATAGATATTAGTGTAGTCCATGTGAAACCCATTGTCCTAGTTAAATGACACTTTTTTTTATACGATGGTCAAGGTAAAATTATTTAGGTCTTGGAGGAGACGGTGATTCTTTAGGACAAATGCAATTTCTTTTTAACGAGAATTTTATGTTCCCCATCCTCACTACTGTGTTCGCCACTAGTATTAATGGTTGAGGATATGTCGCATCATGTGCTTACCGTTAGAAT